AAACAACCCCAGTCAGTGTACCCCTCAACTAAAATACAATTCAGTTCAGAGCCCCCTCTCCTGCTTACCTTGTTGCGTTGCAGGGAGGAGGCTGTGAGGCGGCACGGCGGTCCCAGTGATCGGTAGTCGATTGGTAGGGTCTGCTGCAGACCTTCCCAATCGATCCTGCACAATCCTTTCGGCCAACGTTCACTGAAAGAGCGCTGGACGAAAGCATTTTTTTTTAAGTCCCCCGCCCCTCACGTTAACACGCGTCGGGTGTGCCTACATACAAAAACGTTGATCGTGCTACACCTGTTGGGTATCGCCGCGCACGCCGGAGTGAGAGCAATAATTCTAGGGCCAATATTTACACGTATCTCTGAACTGATGACCTGTGGGGGTTCTTAAAGGGTCGTCTATGGACTTTTTGGAGTCCTGAATTTTGTTGCAGTTTTACAGACGCACACAATTTCTAACCTGGGCATGTTGGGTATCTATTTACTCGTGGTAACCTCATCTTTTATATATTAATAAATGGGTATTATATTGTGTTTTGGGGCACTTACAGGGTTATTCAGAAAACGGTGAAGAGTTTGGAGAAGGAAGGAGAAGTGAACAATTTAGGCCAAAATAGCTGATTTGGAAACATTCTCCAATTCAGCTTACATTCCAGTTCAGCTATGTTGTCCTAGATTGTTCTTCTCCAAACTTGTTTTGGGGCACTTACAGGGTTATTCAGAAAACGGTGAAGAGTTTGGAGAAGGAAGGAGAAGTGAACAATTTAGGCCAAAATAGCTGATTTGGAAACATTCTCCAATTCAGCTTACATTCCAGTTCAGCTATGTTGTCCTAGATTGTTCACTTCTCCAAACTCTTCACCATTTTGTGAATAACCCTGTTAATGTCACTTAAAAGAGAACTATGGGGTAATTGTTTTTCCCCATAGTTCTCCTAAGGGTCACGGGAGGACACAAACTAGTGTCCTCCCGTGATCCAAAGCTCAGTATATAGTGAGCTACAGCTCGCGGTATACTGAGACCGCCGCAGCCGGGACGGATCCTGACAATACTGTCGAGATCCACCCAGCTGAGTGAGTGAGTAAAAAGCTGGCTCTGCCTATCTAGAGGCAGAGCCAGCTGTACCCGCCCCCTCCCTCGTCCGTTCCGCCAGCCAGCGCTGGAGGATCGGAGCGGGGAGGGGGGAATCCCTGCAGGGAGGCGTGAGTGACAGTCACGGCTCTCTGCAGGGACATGATCGAGAAGTGAGCGAGCGACGGTATGTGTTCACTCACTTCCCAATCTATTCCCGACGTGTGACAGTTTCATTGTCACACGTCGGCTCGAACTAAACTAAAATGTGGATTATAACATAGGTGCAAAAAACGGGGGGGGAAAAAAGCCTTGGCAGCAAAAGGGTCCATAAGGGGTTCATGCATTAACCAGTTTTACATCCTCACCATGTATCCGGATGTAGAACTCATCACTCCTCTTCCTCACAGTGTCAGTCGCCGTCCTCACTTCACAGGTGTATTTCCCAGAATCCTCCTGCTGAGCTGACCGCACTCTGTATGTATCAGATACATTGAACTCCTGCACGGTCCGTCCATCTCTGTAGAAGGCAAACTGAAGCTGTGTGCCACCTCGGAGCGGATCCAGTCTGGTGTCACATCTCACCGTCATGTCATCTCGTTCTGTTATCCTCAGGGTGGTGATTATTTTTGGAGGAGAGAAGAGCTCTGAAAGGGAAAAATATGATGATGATTTGGTCATTATAAGTCCTGTTCCTCAGCTTTTAAGTGTCGATGAATGAATAAGTGAAATGTGTATATCATTGTATAGAAGTAATGTGTACAGGGCCAAATACCCTAATTCAGGTGTACATCCTCACCATGTATCCGGATATAGAGCTCATCACTCCTCTTCCTCACAGTGTCAGTCGCTGTTCTCACTTCACAGGTATATTTCCCAGAATTCTCCAGCTGAGCTGACCGCACTCTGTATGTATCAGATACACTGAACTCCTGGACATTCCGTCCATCTCTGTAGAAAGCAAACTGCAGCTCTGTGCCGGCTCTGAGCGGATCCAGTCTGGTGTCACATCTCATCACCATGTCACCTCCTTCTATTACCCTGAGCAGGGTTTTTATTTTTGGGGTAGAGAAGAGCTCTGGAAGAGGAATCATGACAATGAGAGATTTCCCTGATTTATTTCGTATTTCCCTGATTAGAGCCGCCAAGATCTACATTGTAACTCATAAAATATAAGCGTCTTCATAGTGTTTTCAATATAAAAAAAAAACTTTCATAAATCAGATAAAAATTCCCTCACATAAATGAGTGCACCAACATTGTGCCCCTGATGTCAGAAATATGGGTAACCGATAACATAACAAACCTGTGCATGTTATGTAAGTATATAAAAGCTGATCAGACCAAGAAAAGTGTAGAACACGGCTAGAGAACGTCGCTTCCCCATTCTCTACTCGTCACGTGCAGCCCCGGATTCCCCACAAGGCCACCGAGGCCAGGCCTCGGGGCAGCAGGGAGCAGAGGGGCGGCAGCGGGGTGGAATCCCCCGATGCCTGGAACATACAGTTGCAGTTGGTAAGTTGCGCTTTCTACATTTAGTCCTGTTTTGGGAAGGCAGGACTAAATGTAGTGTGGGGAAGCCGCTTGCTCGTTTACAAGTGATCTCCGCCATCACTTGTAAAATGTGTGCAGCCTGTCTGTCCTCCCCTCCTCCACCACCACACCCTCCTCTCTCCTTGCATTGCGGAACCCGGCCTTGGGGCGGCAGGGAGAGTAAATATGGCCCTGGTAACGTGATGTAATGAACTGATGACATGCACAGCTCATTTATTTGTTGCCTATGGACAATTTGGGGTACTGAAGTTTTTCTTTGTTTCACAGGTCCAGGCAATTTTTGAGTCATGAAATGTCTGGTATCTCTGTAGCTGGCACAATCTCATTGTCTATATTTTACCAAAAAAATGTATATTATAATGTGTTTTGTGTGCACTAATATGAATTTCATGCATTTTTTACTGAAAATTTGGGTTTGATAAACAGTTGCACTAATATTGGGCCACCATTTTGTTGTCCAGGAACTCTGCTTTCAGAAAACATAACATTTTTGGGAAGCTTTAAAGGTATTTTCACTATTGCAGCCACATTTGAGAAACCTCCTCTATAATGTTCCCATTCACACAGCAGAATTAAATATAATAATAAAAAATTATCTTTTAACTGTTTCATTGGAGAAGATTCATGTCCTTGGGTTTTTAATATTTTGTGAGGACAGCCTGCTCATCAAGTTTCAAGTGATAATCAAATCTGCCAGAAAAATACAGGCTGGATTAATTATAGGAAACCCCCCCAACCTCCCAGACACGGAGAACTAAGCAGAATTTTTCAGTCCTGAAGTTTGCAGAAACATCATCAAAAAAAGGTACGCTGCAATATTTCATTGTTTAAAGGAGAACTATGAAGTGAGTGAAAATCCCTCATCCTCATAGATCGAGCCGACGTGTGACAATGAAACTGTCACAGGTCGGCTCAATAGATCGGGAAGTGAGCGAACGCATACCGTCACTCGCTCACTTCTCGATCATGTCCCTGCAGAGAGCTGTGACTGTCCGTCCCGGCTGCGGGGGTCTCAATATACCGCAAGCAGTAGCTCGCGGTATACTGAGCTTTGGGTCACGGGAGGACACCTGTATATGTCCTCCCGTGACCCTTAATACAACTATGGGGGAAAACACTGACCCCATACTTCTCTTTTAAGCTCTGTTATCTGAATGGGAACATGTAACAAATATAAAGTAGGTGTCATTCCAATTTGGCTGCAACAGTGGAAATACTTTTTGATTTTCAGGCCTTAAATGTGCATTTTAACATGTCTACAAAAACGGCATCTGTAGCGAAAGGCTTACTGATTTTACACATTTTCTTGCTTTTATTATAGTGAAGGCATTTTACAGAAATGTTCTCCTTGTAAACAGGTAAATATGAAATATGTCACAAATTGCCTATGGCAACCTTCTATCCAGCCAGTGGAGCATTCGGCTCCTTTTCACATTTTCAAAAACGATTGGAAAATTCTTTACATTAGAGTTTACCTGTTTGTAGGTAGGTGCAGTACGGCCAACGGCCACTAGATGCCCCCATGGGGCCCTGGAGATAGATGCAGCTCTGGCCTTGGGAGACTCTGTGTCCCAGGAGAGCTGATTTATAGGGGGCGCCCGAGAGGGCAAGGGAGGAGAGAGTACAGGAGAGCAGAAGCCTAAGACTGTATGCAGAGTCTCCGGAGGGAGACTGTTTCTAAAACATAGGCTGGTCCATGGGAAGGACAGGACCAGACCTAGGACTATGTAGAACTATAGAGATTCCCTAGTTTCCCCTGGAGGGGGAAACCACCGAGCTAGGACTGACAAGGATGGGATTCTGGAGAATAGTGAGGAGCTGTAAGACTAACGATATTTGCCAGTGGGCCTCTGGCCGAAATAAGTCGTGGACTCTGGGCTGCACCTGGGCTGTTCTTCTCTCTCTCTCTAATCTGTATCACCATGCAACTAACAAGAATTGTGCCGTCATCCCACTCGGGGGTGGCTGAACGTATCCTTTTCAAGTAAAACCAAGAAAAGACTATCTGTGGACTGGTTCTTCCCCCTCCAACCTCTGAGAAGGTGGGGTTCTACAGGAGTGTGATGTTGGACTGTATCGTGGCTGTAACCATCCTGAGGAGGGTAGGTGTGCAATGGGGCTATGCCAGACACAGGGTGCCATTCATGGTGGCCTTTCTCCTTGAGGGGGAGGAAGCGCCGAAGACCGCAGAGGCGGTGGAAGCCATGAGGCCCTGTGTACGCAGTACTACACATGTGGGAGTGTTTGCACGAGGCCAGAGCCGTGGCCCCTGACCGTGGGGTGCCTGGTGTCGTGTTGCATGCACGGGGTTACCAAAGCCAACCCAAAGGGGACACACACGCAACACCTCGAGAATGAACCCCGCCTACATGTTTCCATGTCAAAATAAGCTGGAAACAAAAAAGATAAGGGGGCACCTAGAGGTGTCTACAGGTCATTTCACATATCTTACAGAACACCCAGGAGCCCAAAACCTGACACGTTATTGTAAAGCTAAGAACAAAAATGTCATATATTGCAGCTCACCGGGCCTTAGATGTGGTGGTCACATTTGTTTTCATATGTCAGGCTAAGAATGTTTTCAGCAACTACAGAAAATACCTGTTGATCTCGTTCTTTGCTTCCTGTGGACTAAACTGCAATCTCCAGCTTTGTTATTAGCTTTCCCAGATATCTTCTGTGAGCTGCAAAACGTTTTCTACCAATATATTAAAGATGAGGACAGGGAGGTGTTCTGTGATCCTAGCACACTTCATGTCCCAGGGTGACAACGCTGCGCCTCCATAGGTACAGTTAGTGTTGTCAGCCTAAAGCTGGACATACACCTTATGGATTTTCTGCAGATTTTCTATGGTCAAATGGAAAAAGTGCAACAGATTCCTCCATCTTAAGACAGGAAGTTTGTTACTGGCAGGATCAACAAATGAAAATAAAGGGAAATAAATGCCTCAAACCTAAGCCTAGGAAAACCAATGCAGCCACCACTTTAAGGGCTGGTTAAATGCATCATATGACACTTTTGTTCCTGCATTTAGATACACTTTATTCCAGGATTTGTATAAGGCCCCCTTCACACCTAAGCTGTGTGTTACACATAAATCAGTGTGACAACACTAGGAATCCCATTCATGTCTTTGGCCCCAGTGAACATGTCAGCGTTTTGTCGCAAGCAGAAATACGTCTGTCGCAGGAAATACTACATGAGCTACTTGGCTGCTGATTTTAGAGCGTTTTGTCCCATAGACATCAATAGAAAACACTTGAACAACGTGTGTTGTTATTATTTGTGAGCATATTACACACGTTTTGCTCATTTACATAAATGTATCAAAATCTGCTCAATAAAACACGCCTAAAAATTCGCAAAAAAAAAGGTGCAAAAAAGACGGAAAAAAAAGCGCTGAATAGGTGTCGCTTAGGTGTGACTACAGCATAAAAGAGCGCCCCAAGACTACAAATGTTCTGTACGTTGTACCAAATGACCTGCAGACAACTACATACACCTTCATCAAGCAGAGCCTGTAGGTAAATACATTCTACCATGCAGGGGCGTCCCGAGGCTGGGTGTTACCCGGAGCGGTTACCGGGTGACACCCTGCCGTGACGTCATTGCGCATGTGCGGCGATCTTATTGATACCTGCAGGCGGCCGTCTTGATGATGGACGCCGGCAGAGAGAGGAGGAGACAGTCACCCGGTGGGATAAGGTATACCGCCAGGTTCCCTCCTCTTTCCCGAAACTGTCAGGCTCTCAGTTCATGACCGAGTGCCTGACTATTCAGAGGGGGTGACAACCAAATGACTGTCAGTCATTTTGGTGTCACTCCTCCATTGGTGTCACCCGGGTGCGGGCTGCACCCCCCGCACCCCCTTGTGACGCCACTGCTACCATGTTGTCTGTTTCAGGAACCCAGAAATCCGTGCCATGGAATCACACTTCATTCATTATTTCGTTATAAAACAACATTTTATATAGCAAATGTACCGCAGCGCTGAATACTGAAAAATGGCCTGGATGGGAAGGGGGTTTAACACCGCGGATGTCAACTGGTTAAATAAATACAAAACCTTTATATTTTCCATTTAAAACAAAGGAAATACTTTTTTTGTGGAGGTTTCTCTTCCTCTGGATCAAACAAGGCTTCCGAAGATACATTAATAAACAAAATTGTACTGTAATTATAGTCTGATGAACCTTGGCGTTGCTGTGAATAAATATCACATATTTTCTATAACGATCACTTCCTGTTACACTGATATGTCCCTGTAACTAGAGGACAACACCATATACAAAATGTCTTTCATATATCACTAACTTACCTTTCACAGACATACGGAATACATCGGAGAGAACAAACACATGTGAAGCAGCTTCATGTTGAAAGTGTTTGGTACATTTGTATAGTCCGGACAGATTTAATTCTGCTTTAGGAATATGGAGCTCAGAGTCCGTATTTGATGATTTTATTTCCTTATCACCTCTGTAGAATGTTGTGTTTATTTCAATATAACCATTTACAAGATG